AACATGATAAGATTTCATATGGTCTTTTTTGTAGCCTATGTCTTCCCATTCTCCTTGCCTCCCTACTCTTCCATAAATCTGCCAATCACACTTTTTGGTCATCAGGAAGATAAGGGGAGCAAGAAGGAACATGCCACAATGCAACCATGTTTGTTGTTTGGATAAAACCCCAGTTTTTTGGTGTTCCTCTATATTATGGCCATAAATAAAGAACATGGACGGGCAACTAGAGGTACCAGACTTACAATGTGGCAGTCAGTATACATGGATCTCTATGCTCTTTATATGCCCGTGCTCTGTAGATAGTACTGTTCTGCAGTGTGAAACGAAAAAACCAAGGTGTGACGGGTGACATCTGGCAATAACACACCTTATATCCTCTAGGTCCCAGCTAAGAGCGCCGTGCATGTATATCTCTCAGCTGCTTTGCACCGTCATTATGAGACGACACAGTCATAGATTTTGCCAGCAGTGTGAAATTGTGCACATTGTTCATACGGACAGGACATTAATAACTGGGGAATCTGAAATCTCTTTTTATCTGGGCAGAGGAACTGCTGGAGGGATAAGAAGCTGACTCCTTGGTTTTAATAGAACATTATTTTTCTACCCTAAGAAATGAAAATTGATTGCACATCTTTTTCAGATTTTTTTTTTCCTCTGGAATTCTATGTGAAATAAATATCATATCAAGCTATTGACTGTGGGAAGAAGTCCTTTTAGTTTTATATATTAAAGGCATAAAGGCAATAAATATTATGTAAAAATGCTGACATATAACATGCAGGTCCGGAAATGTATTTTGATCCACAATACTATTAATATTAGTTAAATCTACTTAAAGTGAACTGAAGTTAGCAACATGACAGTTGCCATTTTTGACCTGGCATTATAGACGAAAGAGGCAAGACTGTCATTTTTACCTTGTTCTTTCTACCTGGTGCATCACTGATTTGGAGCAAGCAAGCAACCAGTGACAACCTTCTACTTTGTTCTAGATAGCGAAGATCAGCATGGCATCCCCAGAGCCTATACCTAAAAACAGAGTCAGCAGTGGTCGTGCCTCTATATTTATCCGCAAAGATTCACTTTGAAGTGTATCTAAACCCAGAAAACAAGAATATAAGATACTGCAGAGTATCAGTCCTTAGAAGCAGTAGCTACATTTTCTTTCCCAGGGTGACTACACTCCCTCCTCCACTGTATCTACACACTCAAAATAAATAAAAACCCTTTAAAATCTTAAAAAACACCTTAGTTTGAACTTCCCCAATGCATTTTTGCAAAATGGCAAACTTTTGCAAAAATTTCGGCATAGTGAAAGCAGACAGTTTTGCTTGTCCCTAGTTATATGCCAAACGTTTTTGACAGGCAGTATCTTCATTTTTCAATAATGTGCTCTTGCACAAGCTGCTAGCACCCCCCTGTTCTCTCTCCATGAAATCTTTTGGAATAATTAGGCCAAGAATGGGGCAACCAAAAGGTGATAAGATCTTCTGAACATCAAAAGTGCTCATTGTTTGGAAAAATTCTACACCTGCAGAATGATCGTTCCCCTTTCTCCGTTGAGGTTACATCACTGTATATTTTACTGAGCCGGCGGAGGGAAGGGTCAATGGTTCAAAAAGAATGAAGCTAAAACAAGCGTGCGCTCACATGGCAGTTATATAACATTTTAAATCTGAAATTTAATGTGGGCCATTTTATCCAGCTGCTTATCATCAAATCAATCCAAAATCTCTAAAGCTTTCAAAGTTACTCACATATTATGTATTCTAAACTTGCCCATGTCACGTGTAAATTTTCTACAGCACACGGATATACACTACTTAATTCACTTATTGCAGTGTGCTTCTTTACATCTTTTTATGACAGATGATTCCAGAATTCTTGATTTAAATTGTTTTAATATGACAAATCTAGAAAAATCACTTGACAAGCAGCCAGCTACAACTGACATCATAAAGGAAACATTCGATATTTTTGTAACAGCTGCTCAAAATAGTTATGTAATTGGTACAACATGCTATAGCAAAATTGACATAGATAATGTATAGAATAGGAAAATGCTAAAGCTTGTATAGAGAGAAATAACATAAAATATGCTTTAACAGGCTGACAAACATTGGTAAAGGCATCCCTGTCAGGTTTTCAAGACATCTACATTAAAGTTCTCTGCAACAGAAAAGTGTTTATACTTACCTCTTTGGTGGCCCGTGTTTCCTACTGTCCCTCAGTTCCAGCACTGCAGCCTCTGTAAGTCTTCAGGAGTGTAATAAGGGTTCCTCATGTACCATGGTTGCATCCTCCTAACCCTACATCACTACAGAACTTAGCAGTGGAGTAGGGGCTGGGGATAGAACCATGGCCCGCAGCAGTGGCACAGGCATCTGACAGACATGGAACTGTTGAGCGCCGAAGTGTCTTACAAGTCTTATGTTGCAGTGCACTACACTGGCAAAAACGCATGAATGATGGATTCGTCAATTAGGTTCCTCTGTTAAAAATCCCAATGAACACACGGACTGCCGACATGGATTTAAATGGCCACAGCAGCCCTATATTAACCATACCAAAAATAAACACTTACCACACATTATAACCTAAATAACATACAAATCATTAATCTGAATGACTGTTGGATCCGAGAAGGGGTCTTTGGGTTCCCATCAGCCAAAATAAGGCCTCTACTAATACCGCTCCCATGTACCTAACCGCCAGCTTGAGGACAGTTACTGGTTCCCAAGTTCCATGTGGCTGGCCCCCGACAACTACCGACACCAACAGGGGAAGAAGCACCATACCAACCCCCATTTTGTAACCGACTCAAATTTCTTGACCCCCAAAGACCCCCTAACCTGCCAAGCTGCCGTGACATAAACAACCATTCCAACTGCCACCAACTGCAAAAAATTAGGGGAGGGCGGGACAACCTGCTTCCTCCATTGACTTTCTGGAAAGAATGCCCATCAGCCCTTGCAGTTGCATCCCATGCTGCTCCTCCCTGACACCTGACTCCAACCTCCAATCAGCTTATTATCTCATTCCCATTTTATTTAACCCCTTCTCCAAAGGCTATTCCTTCACCCAGTCATGCAGCCCCTCCTCTCGTTATCTCCGGGGCTGTCTGCAGGTCTGTTTTTTTGGTCCAATGTGGTGTGTATGGTTCCTCGCTGTTCTTGCTGCTGCAGTGGATGATGATCTAGCTGTGCTGTAAGGCAGGGACTGAACTTAAAGGAGAACTATGAGGTGAGTGATTTCCGCTCATCCTCATAGCTAGAGCCGACCTGTGACAAAGAAGCTGTCGAAGGTTTGCCCTATTTATCGGGAAGTGAGCAGAAACATGCACCAATCCGCTCATTTCATGATCGTCTTCATGCAGTGAACGGGGACTGTCAGTCATCGCTCCCCACAGGGATTCCCCCCTCCCCTCTCTGTCCCTCCAGTGCTCACTGGAGGAATGGACGGGGCGGGTACAGCTGGCTCTGCCTCTAGATAGGCCGAGCCAGCTGTCACTCACGCAGCTGGGTGGATCTCGACAGTTTGGTCGGGATCCATCCCAGGTGCGGCGCTCTCAGTATATCGTGGGCTATTCCCCACGATATACTGAGCTTTGGGTCATGGGAGGATGTTAGTATATGTCCTCCCGTGAACCTAAAGAGAACTATTGGGAAAAACACTTACCCCATAGTTATCCTTTAAGTCTCCCTATTTTAGGTGAGTTGGCCACCAGTGATGAAGATAAAAGTAGGGAATGTTACATAAATTCAGTTATATAGAAAGCAAAGAAGCTGGGCACTAATAAGTTTCACCACATCCATTCCACACTCAATTACTATCTGCTTCCTTAGTAACATATCCAGAGGCTTAATTCAGTAGTTACTCTACTGAAGGCTCTAACCTTGTGTCCTGAATTTACTAGAAGGGTTTTTTACTTATTTACATGATTCTCTGCACTGGGTTTTCAGCTGAAAAAAAGGAAAAAAGCTGCTTTCAATTGATATGTGTACAGAGCCAATTTGGATTGAAGTAATTCTGTACTTTTCCTGTGGCTGTGCATTTCTGGAAGGTCAGGCATAGACAGGGTGGAGATACATCATACATGCAACGGTGATGTCAGTAGGGGGCCTATCTGGTGAAACTGAAAGACAGCAATCTTTTATACCTTTTTGAAGAAAATGAAATATTAACTTACTCTATGGCAAAGGTAAACACTAATATCTCTAAAACTATGAACATGATGTCTGGAGTGGTTTGTGTTAGATTTTAGGTGCGCCAGGCACTTTAAAAGTCTCTTCCAGGGCACAAAACCACCATTTAACTATAATGACCCTGTTCTGTGCCACAAAAACAGACCCTCCTTAGCCTCATAATGTAATTTTTTTTCACAGAAAGAGAAATTAGACAGTGAAGAAGAAAAAAAAGGAAATAAAAAATATAAAGCAACAGTACACTGATCGTTTTTATATACACACACGTAGCACCCCCTTGCAGCAGGTGGTTGAGCCAGTTCTCACACCTGCCCTACAGTAAAACGATTCCAGCGATGGCTGGTTGGAAACTCACTTCCTTTGCTCGGGCCCCACTCTCTTGGCTTATGGACCATGCCAGGAGACATAATAACTTAGTCACAAATTAGCTGAAAGGGGTCCCCAAAGTCTGTGGTTGCAGGTCAGGTCTAGACATAAAGCATCTCGGAGCTGTAGGGGAAGTTTGTGCGGGAAGACTTTCTGATGTTAGGTGATCATAGGTCTGAACAAGGTACAGGCAACTATATAATGCCCAGCATGTGTCACTGAGTGCAAGTCCTGCACTGATAAATGTCACCAAACCAACATATCTTTTTAGTACTGCTCCAGGGGGAAAATACCTCCCTGACCCCATCGAAGTACCCCCCACCCCCCCAAACCCCAAACCCCCATCCCCACCCAGTTTTACCTCTTCCCAGAACAGATGAGTGACAGTATTCTTGTAACACAATATAACATGTAAGCACTTACCATCAACACAGGAGGGTCTGTTTCTGGTTGTACCAGCCACTTTTCCTGGCAAACAAGAGCATTTCACGGTCTGAGACCTTTCTTCGATTCTATTCTTATTACAGCATCTGTGTGCTGCTATGACTTCGCAGGTTCCTCCTTCTGCAGATACATAAAAAAACATGGAAGATCACAGAGGTTACATAAGTGCTTGATGACGTTTGAAAAAAATAATAATGATGGGACATAGCAATAAGAATAAAAGATATTTATAATTTTGGTCACGATTTTAGGAGCCCCCCAATGTACTGACAAAGTCACATGACTGTGCAGAGAAATACCTTGCTTTGGAAAAATGCCCCAGCATGCATCACAGACTCTGATTGGTTCTGAACAGTTGACTGGTCACATGCAGGCATGTCTCATAAAAGGTTGGTGTAACTATAAATGCTTTGGGATTGTGCCACTTTAACAATCAACTCTATTACTGTGTAGAGTAAATAATATGTGGCCTACACTTAACTTACCAGATCCACTGACCCCACATAGGTGGTCCTATCTGCTTCTGAATTTACAATGTACAGAAGTACCAGGACCACATCAAATCATCATAGTACTGGAAAGGTTTTATTCCAATCTGGCATTTTTACAGGGGTGTGTAGACTTTTTATATTAACTGAATATGTTTGAGGTCAGGTGGGCTGGTGAGTTACCTCTTTCACTTTTGGGTGGAAGTTGCATATCATTTACTTTACACAGTGGGGGGTTTGATTATTAATATCCACTAACTTGGTAATGTTAGAGTTATAAAAACATTTCAAGATAAATTTCAGCTTGTAAAATTCCCCATAACATGACCTGGGGGCACAATCCCGTAATGCTTATTTACTGAGATTGTCTTTTGCGTGCTGCTAATTTGCATACCTACTGGAGTAGAGCAGACTTTTTTTAGATTCATACTGTAACTATAATGCAGTTTATGTTTTATTCAGTCTCCAGTGTTAAAGTCGAAATCTAGTCACATTTGTTTTTGGTGGTGGTAATGGTGGAGGTTGAATGGAAGAGATATGTTAGTGTCACGCCTGTATGGATAATGGTCACGTGGATCACAGCTGCGGAGGCTTCTCAGGTCTGGTACCCTGGTTTCACTCTCTATGTGAACTGAGAGTTAGGGTACCTTGCATCACAGCCTCAGGGTTAGTAGTAGAGTGGCAAGGGTTAACGTTAAGTGTGCTATTGGATGAGTAATGGATAACTTCAAGGGTAAATGCTTTTGCAGGCTCTAGAAGGTTATCTACAACAGTAGCAGTGAACAGTCCCCCAGTATAGTAGTTAAACTTGCAGTATACTCTCAGAGACAGTTTGAATGTTATGGTGTGCGACTGCACTAAGAGTACTTGCGCTTTGGAGCATAAGCCGGAATGAAAGTAGCTGGGGGTCCTTGGTGGTGTCCGGGTAGTTTAGATAAGCTGGAGGCACGGTCTGTAGTGTTGGAGGGTCCCAGGAGACAGCAGGCGTTCTGACTCAATATTGGAACACCATGCTGTCTCGTCTGGGCGTTTAAATAGGGCTCAGAAGTGAAGGAGGAGCCGAGGCACGCATTGGTGCACTTCCGCGTTCCACGGTGGAACGCACGCGGTCCCGAAACCCGGAAGTGACGAGCGTGCGCTCCACCCTGGAACGCAATTGGCCCAACGAAGGAGCGGCTGGCTGCCGCATCCTCCCTCCTCGCTGGCTGGTGACGGCGGCGGCCGTGACAGTTAGAATGCTAGAACCTCTATGATCCCATTATGCTGTTTTTCCATCACTTCCTTTCCTGGCAATAGAACACGGAATGAGAAGACACCTCCCCAAACTGAGGAAAAATGCCACCTTTTACAGCCCCCTTTGGGACTGCGTGCCCACATCACAAAATGGCAGCTGTTCTGGTGACAACATTGAGACAGGAATTGAGGGGAAATCCACCCAATGATGACAACATCCTTGGTGTATGGTAGGTGAAAAGCTCCTTTCACAAAGAGCCATACTTCTTGATAAATGTTTTATTTGTCAGCCTAGTAAACATATAGCCACCATATTTGACCCCTGCTTCAAGAATGAATACAAATGCCCATCTGTTTTACTTGCTGCTGAGAAATTGTCTATAAAAACTGCCTTATCAATGGCTATAGCCAGGGACCTCTTGTTATGAAGGTCAGTCACCTTAGTCGGCTGTCTAAATTTACAGAATATATATACAATATAAAAATGTGATTATCTGTTATTTTGATCATTATTTTAGTTTTGAAATTCACTTAACAGGCATGATAGGAATTATTTTATAGGTATATTGTCCATGAACAGCAACACCTCATCTTGTACAAAAGTTTGGTTCCCCAAGCACCAGCGTGCCATCTTCTTAGAACTGTTTGACTAATGATGGTATCATAATTACTTTGTCAACAAAGAAGAGAACAAAAGGAACATGGTACCTGGGGCTTTGAGGACTTGCAAACAGTTTTATCAATTACCAAAAGACAGTACATCAAGATATCCATCTCAAAAAGTATTTGATTGCTGCATGTGAATGTTTAAAGATAGCTCTCTCAAGAACATCAGAGGTCATTGTTAGATAAGGACCTTGTGAATTGGGACTGAGATGGAACTAAAGTGAATTTCTGCAAAGGACAATATTAATGACACACAATAACAAAGCATTGTTTGGTGTGCAAATTAATTTTAACTTCACATCCATAATTTCTAAATTAAAGGGATAGGAGGTAAATTAAAAAGATATCTTTAAGCTGGCCATTCGTTGGATAATTTTTCAAAGGATCTGACGAAAGCTCAATGAAAAAAAAATTTGAAATGTTCGCAAGCGTAGGAAGGATAATGTTATAATAAGCAACTGTTTTAGTTAACACACAATTTTAGACTCATCATGTGGACTTTGTAGAATAGCAGACTTTTAGATTGTTAATGTGCTGTACTCTTATTCATGATGATGACAAAGATGATTGTCTAAAGAAAATAAAGTTGTAAAATCATTACAGAAAATAGGAAAGGTGCACGCTGTATAGAAACTTTAAAGGTATTAACAATAAGGAATAAATACCAACTGCACTTACAAAATTTAAAAGCAGAGTTGACTTGTCATAAAGCATCGCAAGTCAGCATGTCAAACTCAGTCTCACCAAATAGGCCACATAGGGAGATTGGAGCATGTTAAACAGTGTGATGCGTCACTGAGACCTAACATGGTACACCAGGAATAGTTCTAGGAAACCAAATAGCCCCGTTGGGGCTGGTTTTTGTTATTGAGTTGCCATATCACTCGTGAATATTTGCAAAGGTGCTTTTACCTTGAGGCCACCCTGCCCTTGTCACCACTGGTTACCATCCTGGGTGCCATTATTACCATCCTGGGGGGTGTTTGCGTGTTTGCGGGACACATCACTGGGGGAACAGCATGGTATCGCTGTGCGCACCCAGCTCACTGACGTCACTGGGTGCCAGCTGCTGGCCAGAGCATCCCACTCAGCTCCTGGCAACCAGTGGCTTTCCTGAGCTGGGCAGGATGCCTGTCACAGCATCACATGTTGCTAAGAGCTCTTAGCAACCTGGGACGCTTTGGCCACATGACCCAATGAGATGGCGCTTAAGGCACCCACCTCAGGCTACCTCATTATAGGGATAACCCTGAACAAAAACACCTTCCTAAGTAGGGTGGAAATACTTACCTTCCCCTGTTGACTTAAAAATATTCATCCCAGAGCCTGTCAAGTGACCACATTCAGGAGCACAGGCCACAAGTTCAGAGTTCTGAAAGAGCCACTTCCTGGTTGGCTTTGCCTGCACTTCTGTAGGCCTTTTAACTGAAACAACATGACCAACTGTAAGGAAGATGGGAATCAAAAATAAAATTCCCAGGATCATAAATCTACTTCTTGCAGAGAAATTCTTGAAGTTGTTGTCTCTTAAAACGCTCAATACACCCAAAGCTAAAATATTCCAATTTTGTGTAGATGCCAATAGTCAGAGTCAGAATCAGAGAACAGCTTCTTATATTTCTTGTAGACACCAGAGGTGAGATCCCTGCACCTGGGTTCCCAGCTCCACCCACCTGCCACCTCCATCATGAAATGGGTCATATTCTCATCATTAAATTTTTCATTTAGCTTACATTATGGATATGGAGAAATCAGAAATAGGAGTTCTCATAACATCTAAAATAACTGTTGGGTATTTAATTGTCAAGTATCTACTGTAACTAAACCTTGGTCGGCCATAATCTCTAAGCAAAAATAACAGTTTCAACTGTTGTTCAACTGTTAAAATATGAATATGCAAGGATATATCAGGCACCCTGCAAGGATTACAGCCAGTTCTGGCTCTTAATTCGAACATTTATTTAAAAAAAACAAAGTAAAAATGTTAAAAACCCCAAAATGGCAAGTAGACCTCCCTACATATCTAACGAATATACATATCCGGTTCTTCAATAAACATTATTACAGGCAGTAATTTCCATCAGCTTAGTCATGACGTATGACAATGGCTAACCGCTAAGTGCATCACATAGAAGATGTATTATATTCCTTGTATGTTTATACAGGTAATAAAAATCACCGCATTATTTTTTTCAAACAACAAAATAATGAAAATGTATGAGAGCATGTTTAATATATTGCTTATATTACTTAATTTACCTGTGCGAGAAGCAAAGGATTACCCGTCTTTCCCTTGAAATGAAATTCATGTGTGAATGAAATTTCTCGTTTAATAATGACTTCTGGCGACACTAATGTAATCGGTGTTGAATAGGCTTCTCTGTTTGTAGCGTCATATTAATATGAAATATATAACACACTTCTACATGCAAAATAAATGTATGGTAATTATGTATGATCTGGAATAGTGGATGGTTTTTAAGAACAACAGGAGAAACTTGGAAGCTAATTTGTGTGATTAAAGGTGGCAAAAAACTGCTCAATCCTGGCCCAATTCGAGCCTTGCCTGTGACAGTGGGGTAGCACTAGGAGGTAGGGGGACACTGGGAACTTTTGGCCTGGGAGGCAAGTATGACAAACTGGCCATCACAATGCAGGGGTAAATGCTGCCATGATTGTTGGGCATGGTGAAAGGTGGTTATTGTCATTAAGAAAGTGGTTTATTGTGATACA